AGTTAACCCAGCGATCGGTACTTGAATGCTGAAAAATTTGTCAAAATGTCTTAGTTACTTTAATATAATTAAGTAGTTAAAGTGTTTATAAAAAAGTTCTGTTAAATCATTTCATTGTCATAACAAGGCATTCTAAATTGAAACTGAACGTTTTTCCTTAATCGAAATGAATGAAAAAAAACTATGGTATTGCGAATACCAATTAGATAATTAGAGCTATTCAAACGACAACATTAATTGGTTCAGTGAAAAATTATACTTCAATGAATAATTTTAGCTAATCAATGATTCCCATGTAATTCATAATATTTTAATAATGAGAAGAAAGTGGACTGTTTATCATTAAGAAATCTGAAACGTACTTTACTGTGACTATACAATTCTTTCATTGTTAAACTATTAGGAAATTTTTTAGGTAGTATAGTGATTTGAGATCAAGTGTGATTGTAGTTTTCTGATTTTCTTTTCATCACTCACATATAGTGTTGCTGAAAATACTGTTAGTAACTTACTTAGTTTTGATATTTTTCCTCTAAAAGTGTTAGTTTCCCAAAGTAAATATGCTCTTTTACAATTTTCAATGCATATGCTATGTTTTCCCTATTTCGTAGATTTCCATCAATAACTTGAAGCCGCAGTTGTGGAGTATCGTTGATTGGTAGGCGTTGGTAAGTATCATCATACTAATTAAGACTTTGTCGTTTAATGATAACTCTTGATATGTTAAACTTGGCACAATGATTCTAATTTGCCGAAGTCATTAAACTTAAAACACCAAAGAGTAATAAGAGAACCGATTTCCATGGGGAAATACTTATCATAACATCAGTTAAACTAGTGTAAATTCTCGTGGTTCTTCGGTCTCTATACACAATGATTTCATGTTTATTATTGCACTAGTTGTAGTCTACAACATTAAAAGAACATCAAATCACTCCAAGTTATATCTGTTGCGTCCTGTTATTGTAGTTCAGTAAGGCCTACAATGTTACAGATTTAGGAACGAGAACGATTAAGTTTCTCTATTACGATCGATTATTTTCGGAACTGACAACAGTCATTTATAATCGATTGATCTCTGGGTGATGAACAATGTCATGTGTGTCAAGTCCTTATTTAGTGCAGATCGAACGATATCGATCATGTTGCAACGTGGCCACCAGTCTGGGTGACTCGACACTGCGGGTACTATGTATTGATATTAGATGGTGGTTGGTGGTAACGTCTCTGACTGTGAAGCTGGGTGACACGAGATCAAATCCTCCAGGGAGCTTCAGTTCCCTCAAGATTACAGGTGCACCTTGCTGACGAGTGCCAAGTAGCACGAAACCCGGGTCCAGGGTTTCCTGTTCACTACCTCCAACTACCATCTAACAGTCATTTATACTCAACACATTAAACCTCAACGGCTGAGACAAGGAGAAGGCGGAATTATGAAGTGAGCTTTCACAATTAAAATATAAGTCTAATGTTGCTAAATTTCTTCCACAACAAATGAACGCTTTGCGGAAATTAGGTCTATTATCATACAAGAAAATATAACATTTTATATTAGAATTCTGGGACACTTTAATGCGTGATATTATGTGTAGTATATGCTTTATGCTTAAATTATTTTATGGCGACATATAGCACTTTACATCTATCTTTTTTCCCTTGTTACATAAATAGAGTGCAGAATCAGGATAAATAAATAATGAATACGTAAGGTCGTATTACTTAAATCTATCAATAATAAAAATAAAATTCACCTTCAATTTTTAAGGAGTGATATTTTATTTTGCATTTATTGTGACATCATTGTAACTTGTTTAAATGTTGGTATAACAAGAAGACACGTGAGTTACATTGCTTAAGCAGAATTATAGCGTGACTTTAGCATCCATGACACGATTGATATAGAGAGTCAAACAGAAGTAGTCTAATGACAATCAGAAGTCACCAAAAGGTCAAGTCCATTGCATTGGGTCAACTTCCTAGGGATAGAGTGGTATATATATGAATGACTATTTGTACATTTCATTCAGTAGTCCGATACACTTTCCTGCTCACTATTGCGTTTTCCACCAAGTAGTCATTTGGAGGGTTAGCACGTAGCGCAGTTTGTATCAGTATGAGATTTTGGACACCACATGTCATAACAACGAACATCCTTATATAATACGCTCGAATAGTGACGAGCATCACTAACATTCTTCACTGTTTATATGAAAACAATCGATATACTTTGACAGGAATGCATGAGTGCAAACAAATAAGCTAGGTAAAACGACGTCGAGATCATTCTGTTCAATATAAACAACAAATATATTTTCGTCCCTCTGTTCCATTGTTTTTCACTTCTCTAATGTTGCATTGAAGTGTAAAAGCTTTAAAAACCTTTTCACAAAAAAGTGATGAGTCCTGTAATGAATGGTGTACTGAATAGTGCAACCATCTTCTATAGAACAACTAAGCAGTGTACATTAAAGACTCTCCACTAGTCAAATATAAGTATCGTGACAGTCGAAAAATACATAGATCAAAAGGTTGATACCTAATATCATTATGAATGCTCAAAATGAGTTGTTCTTCGTAATTTCGTAGACAATATCTATAAAAATACAAATATTTGTATTAATCTATCTGTCAAATTATCCTAGACATTAAGACTGTTCATTCAACGAGGCGACCAACGCACTTAAAAAATTAACGCTAGTGTTTAAGTATATATTTAGACAAAAACGTTGGGATATTGTCTTATATATAACACTGTTATAACTTGTAGCCTGTGTGCCTGTTAATGTACAACGTAATGATACCGCCAATTAGAGAGCAGTGAATTATCGATCGGACCAATGACGCATAAAACACTTACGAGAAGCGTCCTTATTAGTCCTGCTTCCTGCCTACCTCAGTCAGTTAATTCCAGAACACAAATATCAGCCTTTGCGATGTGAATCATTTATTTCAAACATACTAGGTTTATGTACTAACCAGACATAACAAGCACTTTCGAAAAAAACGTAAGAAATTTCATGAATATTTTTCATCTACAGAAAAATATGAAATGAGATCGTGTGGTGTCAGTTGTCTTTATATTCTCAAATCTAGTAGATGGTAGAATAGAACAAATTCCAATGTCTAGAGTTCAACTACGATGGACGTTTTTTTCACTAGACAGTTATGCTTCAGATAATCTTTGAAACAATTATTAAAATCCTGAATTTCGAATGAATTCTTTCACGGATTCTCTTTTAAGTATAACTATGATTATTAGTTGTCTCTAATAGTTTGAATAACTAACTTTCAAATATTATGAATTTAACGAATGGTACCATCTTATAATTTCATATTTGGTTCATAACAAAATAGTTCATGAATCATTTTCCATCTTGTTTCTAGTCGAATGACTAACTTTCAGTAATTTGTTGTGTGTTCAGTCCGCATTAGTTGAATTTGGTTATTACTAGTGACAAACCTATCGAATATAGAGCTAATAAAGAATAATTTTCACAATACCGAAATATATCAACAAGAATCCCACTAACGAATTTCAGTACGGGTTAGGGTACTTTTATTTCCGTCGCATTCGTAACAGTTTGTCCCAGATCAAATCACAAAGATTTTACTTTCAAGGTTTGATTCCCTTGTGTATTAACGCTATTTTTACGCATGATGTGTGTTATGTAATGACACTATCTTTGTGTATTCTCTTACTTCAAATCGTTATTATCTCATTTAGTTAAGTAGCATCTTGTCTGGCTAAAATGACATAAAGCTACACAAGACAAATAATCCAGCTTAGTCTACCAGATGACTTCTCGAAAAATTGGTTTTATTTTTACATTTTTTTATCATTGGAGTGTACTGTAAACGATTAAAATTATACATCTCTTTAAATGATATATATATATACATGATCACACTAGCTTCGGGCGTCGTAAGGTAAATTCTGACAACATTCTGTTCTTTTAAGCTAGACCACATTATACAAAATATAACATAACAAGGCTAAAATAACTTTCTTTGAGCTATGACAGGTAGTTATAAACGATTCCTAATATATCTGATATTTATAGAGAAGTAAAAATTGTTTCATCGAAAAATATATGTATAGTGTAGCGGCACTGGATTCTAACCAGAATCCTCAAAGATGAATATGAGATAACTGGGAAAATAGACATTCAACATGTAACACTAATAGAAGGTCAATAATGATGGACGTGATAACATTCATTCGAAATTGAACCCGATCGAGTGACATGACTCACCTTTGCAGGTATGATCATTCTGTGTATCTTGTTTTTACTCACATTAAATATATTGTTCTATCTCCAGCATGAATATGTTCTCCATCATATATTGGTAATTGTTATGATACAATGAGTCACTATAGACAATGATGTGACTTCCAGTTAAGATCTTATAGATTATTAGGTAGTTACAATATGACAAATCTACTATTTTAGGATTAGGTCTGTTATTAGAGCAATACTAAGAACGAAAAAGTCCGAGGCTAGCCGCACAGGATATACAGATACCAAATTGAGACTGATCAATTGCAATCCTAAATAGCAATGGGAAAATACAAGTAAAACAACACCAAGTTAATTTAAACTTCACCCCATTGCAACAGCAGTTGGCTATCAGGACTCAGTAGTTAAGTGGATAATGCTATGGCATTTAAAATGAGCAATGCTGGGCTCGAGTCCCGGAGTGAACATCGATTCTCGGATACCGGTACATCCAACTGACAAGTCCCAAATGGGACGAAACGCGCGTCCTGTATTCCACTACTAGCCACTATCCATCTTTGCTTGAAATAGACCATAGTCCTACAATATGCTTCTCAAGAGCTGAACGGTTGTAAACACTTTCAAAACATCAATCAACACATGATGTCTTTTTTCTTAATATTAACTTATTCTATTGTTTTATTCCTATAGTATCTATTGTATTATAGAATAATAGAAAATAAACTGATACTTTCTTAAATTGAAAAGAAACTAACAAAGCAATACAAGCAGGTAGATATATATTTAGAATATTTAATGTTTTAGTTCATTAAAAGATAAAATATAATTTTCATTCAATGTCCATAACTCAAAGTATAATAATTCCATATTTCATTTTCATTCATTCTATATATAATAAAAGAATAATTTACATAAATAAGGATGAACTCAAATAAATGATAAAAGATGAAATTGATAAAAATGTATCACATCAAGATAATTGAATATAATTTATTATTACATAATATAGATTTATTCTTAGTTTAACTTTCAATAAATGTACATATCAGAAGGGTTTTTATGAATATTATTAGTAATTTCATAGGTTGAGATTATTAGTCAATTAAACCTAAACAATAATAGAAAACCTGGAAACACTCGACGGCCGTTTCATGCTATTGTAGGACTCCTGAGTAATGTGCATCCACGATTCCACCTTGCGAGATTTGAACCCAAGACCTATCAGTCTCGCATTGCTGAGGAGTCCAACAATAAGATGAAACGGCCGTTCAGTGCTTTCAGGTTTTCCAAATGGTCTAGCTTTAATTGACTCATAATCTCAACTATTGAAATTACTATAATATCCACAAAAACGCTTCTGATATATACAGTCGTTTAAAGATCTTTATCATATTATCACTTTTGGTTAAACATCATTATTAATCTCCACATTACATGATTCATTCAATTATCATTCATCCCTCCTTAATACGCGCTCGCGCGCGAGACTGATAGCTTCTGGGTTCGAATCTCGTGGAGGGACGGGATTGTGGATGCGCATTGCTGAGGAGTTTTATACTAGGACGAAACGGCCGTTCATTGCTTCCAGGTTTTCCATGGTGGTTCAGCTTCAATTGACTCATGATTTCAACTATTGAAATTACTAACTTTTCACACAATATAATCTTCCACTAAACATTTGACCGAATTGTAATTGCACTATTATTTCTCTCACCCTATCTGACCCATATTTATTTTGATCACTGATCTTAAATTTCACTTAACATATAAGCTGATTCAATTTAACAATCTTTATGAGTCATATCAATATTAACAAATTTATTATATTTATAATGCTTGTAAATTAAGGCAATATCGAGGCAATACACACAGTATGCACATATACCAATAAGAGACTGATCAATTTCCTTCCTAAACATCAATGGAAAGATTCAAGTAAAACAATACCAAGTGAATTTATTCTGTTTTGTTTAACAATCCATGCTTTAGACGATATACTTTGCCATTAACCTGGCCATTTTTCGGATTATTAATTTGGATATATAATTGTAGAACCTGAAGAGAATTTATCGAAAAGGATATTCTTCGTTCAAATATATATATATATATATATATATATATATATATATATATCACTGTGACACTATTCCGTGTAAGGATAAGTAGATAGGTGTCAATTTTCAGAAATACTACAAGACTTAATTAAATTTGATAGGAAATAAAAAGTTTCAACCGTATCCCTAGGACTAAGATAAACTCTCAATAAACAAATTATAGATTTTATATAATATTACTAAAGAAGAAAAGACATGGTTAAATGATTTCCTGTTTTGATTCTTTTGCTGGGTATGCATAATGAACGAGATTTGATTTGACAGTGATCGTTTAAAACTGATCAATCACAATTGAAAGTTCAATGATTATTATGCATAAAAATGTGTTCAAATTTAGAGAAAACATACCTTCCCATGTTATGTAATGTCATTAGATCAATATATACTGAATTTTAACTAGGATATTTCCTTAAACTATTTTGCCGTACTTTCAGCTGTTTAGAAAACTAATAACAATATCAGAAGGCGTTTTGTGGAGATTGTAGTAATTTAAACAGTTGAGATCATGAGCCAATTGAAGCTAGACCACCATGGAAAACCTGTAAGCACTGGACGGCCGTTTCGTCCTATTGTGGAGTTCCTCATCAGTGCGCATCCACGACCCCGCCTCGCGGGATTAAAACCCAGGACCTATTAGTCCCGCGCCAGGGGTTGTGAGATAGAAACTCACTGATGTCAATGGTGGATGTGTCGCTTAATTTCGTGTATTAGTTGAGGTTAGACATCAACATCGTTGGATGCCGGCCGGCTCAGTGGTCTGATGGTTAAGCGCTCGTGTGCAGGGCTGATATGTCCTGGGTTCGAATCTCGCGGTGGGGGGGGCGGGATCGCGGACGCGCGCTGCCAAGGAGTCCCGTACTAGGACGAAACGGCCGTTCAGTGCTACCAGGTTTCTATGATGGTCTATCTTCAAATGACTCATGATCTCAACTGTTTAAATTAATAAAAATATTTTTTTTCCTTTAAGATTTATGCCTGTTGTTTCGGTTACGATGTTAATCCTATATTACCTTATTCTAGCTTATGCACATGCCAATTTATCTCTTCATATTGAGTCACGTTTTGACCTTGTTAATTATTCACTCATCAACCATGGCTGTTTTTATATGAGCTTATGTGTGTACACTTTTCATCCTATTCATCACATGTCTGTAACCTATATTTTTATATGGCATTAAATATTCATAAACGCTTGATTAAATCGAGTTGACTCACACGCCTTCTCCATCGTGCGTTATTTCGTTAATTTCTATTTTTATTTTTATTTTAATTCTAGATAAGCTTTATTCTGATAGTTTTCTTAAAGAAGGTAAAATTATCAACTATACAGTATCATCATTATACTTTGTTGATCCACTTTTCTCCTTATTCAAAGATGTAAAGTTTATTGTTCTGTTATGAAAATTATGGATCTTTCATAAAATCAACATCTTTCTTTCATATTCTTAGTTGAAGAATATCAAAGTTACTTCTGTTTTAATAAGAGAATTCAATAGAATTAAGAAACTACAGCTAATTATCGGATGTAAAAATAGAAATGAAATAGACAAGATACATACCGTAAATTCTTTAGAAATCTTTTTTATTATAATTACAAGACTGTAATTAGTGATAATCGGGCATCACACTACTGTCAGTACCAGGGAAAGTCTTCAACATAGTGTTGCTGAACCGGATGAAAGATGCAGTAGACGCCCAACTCCGAGATCAACAAGCTGGATTCCGTAAGGATCGGTCACGCACAGATCAAATCGTGACACTACGGATCATCGTCGAACAATCAGTTGAATGGAACTCGTCATTAAACATCAACTTCATAGACGATTCGGACTTCACAGACGAACTAGCCCCCCCCCTCATCTCATACACACGAACAAATGCAGATGAAGACAACTAGTGTAGCAGCAGCCTCTGTCTGCATCAGTAGGTCTCAACATGCACAAGCGGAGAACCAAGGTCCTCAAATACAACACGGAGAACACAAATTCAATCACATTTGATGGTGAAACTCTGGAGGAGGTGGAACCCTTCACGTACCAGTGAAGCATCATCGATGAACAAGGAGAATCAGATGTAGACGTAAAGGCCAACCAAGTGCCGCATTTGTGCAGTGGAACAACATGTGCAACTCAAAACAACTGTCAACCAATATCAAAGTCAGAATCTTTAATACGAACGTCATGATAGTTTGTTCTACTATATGGAGCTGAAACTTGCACAATTACTACAACCACCATCAAGAAGATACAAGTATTTATAAATAGTTGTCTACGCAAGATACTCAACATCTATTGACCGAATAACATCAGTTTACTGTGTGAGAGAACAAACCAGCTTCCGACTGATGGGGAAATTAAGAAGAGAAGATGTGACTGGATAGGACGTAAATTACGGAAATCACCAAACTGTATCACGAGACAAGTCCGAACTTAGAATGCTGATGGGAAGAGGAAAAGAGGAAGACCAAAGAACATATTACGTCGGGAAATCGAAGCAGATATGAAAAGAGTGAATCATAACCAGAAAGAGCTGAAAGGGATTGCCCAGGACAGTGTTGGATGAAGAGTGTTGGTGAGCGGCCTATGCTCCTTCACGAGGAGTAAGAGGCACGAATAATTAATAATATTTATCGTGTTAAATACTAACTCACCTTATTCGTCAAAATCGTCCCACATATTAGCTACATGAAATTTCTTTTGGAATGGCATGTAACTGAAAGAAGAAATTTAAATCAGAAATCTACACTATATGTTACAATATTAGAACAAAACGATAACCAGAATTTAAATGCGCAAAAATATAATAGAGTACAAATGCACATATACTACTTAGTTATAACCTTCAAGTGAAAAGTGTTTTGTTTATAATTTTAGGTTACCAATAGTTTGAAAGTTGTATTAGCCCAACACATGCTACATGTTGTTGGTTAGTGTTTAAAATTGTAAGGATGTAAACATATCGGAATATCTTTAATTGGTCAATTATTAGTAGATTTAATTGCAAGGGGATATATCACAGTAACCGATCAGTAAGCAAATGACTGAGGAGTCATTGAAAATTTGTTTATATAAATAATTATTATTTGTTTTTGGAGCTGACGTAGCTTCATATCACCACCTGATGGTTGCCATGATGAAACTGAAGCTAGAAAATCAGTGGAGAACTGGAGGATCAGCATTACAAAAAATCAGTACAGCCTTTTTTCGAGGTTTTGAGAAACTCAACGAATTCAAGATAGCTCTCATCAAGAGGTTACAAGCCTTACAAGACAAACTCAAAGAAAGGGAAGCTACTATGGAAAAAGACTGAAAAAATATCAAAGAAGCTTTAAATTCAACATATCAGGAGTTTTTGAGTCACAAGAAGCATCATCTCTATTGAAACCCTAAGCACGATTCAAGAAAAGACTTTGTACACGAATTTTATCTCACCGGAAACGATGACAATTATCGTGTCAATTATGTTTACCTTAATCAAGTTTCTGATTAATCCAACAGACCGGACGATTAAATAGTAATTTTAGATGAGTTCAATTTATGTCTTCCTAATTCTTAGTTAGAAATCAAACTTTGTCACATAGAAGCTTACTGCTCCTGGAGATGACATCATTAGCAATTCAATTCAATAAATCATATATCTATACAGAACAACTGCCTATGATTTTTAGATTCCCAATAAATTAACAGATAAATTAATTTTTCACAATGGAACAGTCTAAAATATAAAAACTTATATAAATGTTTACGTGGATGCTCAAAACTTACACTGAACTACCACAAAAAAATGCTCATCTTATGTTTGGGATAATCAAATAAATGTAACAAATCAAAGTAAAAAAAACTGGTTTCTGAGATTACAGTTTTGAAAATCTATAAAGTTGATTTTATTGAATAGAAACACAAATAATAACATATATCTATCGCTAAATTAAGTTATGAAGATCTACATAAACCGGCAAAACATTATCGTTAATTCACTTCATCTTAATCTCTAGAAATTTTGTTTATAAAGATTTAATCATAGACTTCATTTTCACGTAAGATGAATATACTTATAATCTAATATTATTCACTTGGTTTCCAAGAAGATATATATGTTCGACAATACAGGATTGGTTGAACTTAGACATCAACACCGTTGGATGCCGTCCTGCCTAATGGTCTAGAAGTTGAGCGTTCGCGCGCGAGACTGATAGGTCCTAGATTCGAATCGCGCTGGGCAGGATTATGGATGAGTAGTGATGAGCAGTGCCACACTAGGATGGAACGGCCGTCCAGTACTTTCCATGGTGATCTAACTTCAATTGACTCATGAATTCAATTATTAAATAGTGTATATCATAGACTGTTTCAAATATCCGCTGTAAAATATTATTAAAAAGAACCTTCGTGTAAGTTATCATTATTTACTCTCAAGCTTCAGCAAGACAATACTAAATAGAAATCTAAACTAAATATTTGACTAGTCAGTCTTAAATTATACACTAGTTCCTTAAACAATTAAATTAATAACATGAATTTATTTAACCAAGATCTATGCGAATATTCGTCAAGATTACAACGAATAATTTGACAAAAATTAAGCGCCGAGTATAGAGAAGTCATTATATGTGAAAATTATATACTTGAACTTTAAATAATTCCAACGTTTCATCCAGCTAACTTATCTGAACTTCTTCAGGGTAATAATCAAAATCATCAAAGAACGATATAGCGTTTTAACAATCAAATCTATACTGTGTTAATCCAATCATGTTTGGATATTGTTTTTTAGTAAAGAGGATAACATGAGTCAGTTAAATGAAAATCATGTGAAAAGTTCAACGACATGGAAATAAATGACTGAAAGAAGTGTGTGTGTGTGTCTATGTATGTGTAAGATTGAGTTATTAATGAATGATATTTGATGTTAATATATTCTTATATGAAGGAAAAATTAAAAAAAAAGGAAAGTGCAATTTGAAGTTTGAATCATTAAAGTACGAGTAAAAATGAGAAACATCAACTACATAATTATATTGCTAAAAACAGATTGAATAACTAATGGATTCAATTACTTGTTAATGAATATTTGTCAAATAGTTACTAAGTTAAATACCATTTCTTCTGTTTAAGCTACTCATAGTTGACTATATATTTCAATTAAGAAATATCTGAATATATTACGTCCTATATGAACAATCTTCAAATACATTTAGTTAAATATTTAAACTAATTTTTCATTTAATCTCACCCAATAGCATTTACAGTTAAGATGAAATCAAACAAACGTAAATAATAAATGAAATATTTTTCTTTCTTTTTAACAGTTAAACAACCTCTTCCTTTATTACTTTCGTAGTTTTTTTTCTCTTTAATTTAAACAAATAAAATAATTTTTTTTAAAAAAAACTGGAGTATTTCGCACATATTAGTTTTCATAAATAAAAGTTATTTAATGCGAATGAAAAAGCAAAGAATTAACGAAAACGAAAAAGGACAAAAATACAAAAAAAAACAAAAAAATACAAAAAACAGCAACAAAAATACAAAAAACAGCAACAGAAATACAAAAAAAAATACAAAAAATACGAAAAAAACCAATTTCATAGTAGTAAGAAAAAAAATTAATTTAATGAAATAAAACGAAATAGAATGAATTTCTTATTTAATTAAATTTTGTCAAATCTTGATTTCATTTTGTATAGACGAATTGTTTTTTTTTTCATAGTTAAATAATTTTAATAACTGGATTGTTTAGCCTAAAATTCAATAAGATCAATGTAGTGAAATAGGTTTTAAGAATCATTTATATTATAGAATCACTACATGAAAGCTAATCAATATTGTCCATATAGGAAAATAATATTTAATACATTATTCTATAGGATACCCAATATTTACATTTACTAAATAGCTGCTGTTAGGACAGATTTAACATTAATATTATTTTATTAGTCAGATGAGTTAATTATCTTCATTTTGTAGTGCCAATTTCTTCATTTATTTTTGTGACTCTAATGTTACTAAGTATCATAACTAAAATTCTTTCAGAACATTGTTGGAGTTAAGTTGGAGAGAATTGTCAATTGAAGTAATTATTTTAATTTATCTTATTGTAGTATCGAAGACATTATCAAGAATGATTGTATCTAACTCTGTCAATGAGTAGATTTTATTGTAAGAGTTAACGAAGTTTAAAGATTTTGCTGAATAGACAAACATTCTGTTTCATTAATCTTTCATTTATGTTTTAGTTCTCTGTAAAGGTTATTTATTATTCTGTCTACCTCCAACTGAAATTTTGGATCTGATTTCATTTTGGTTCGTTTCTTGATCCATTCTTGATCCGTCTAACAACTCCTGATTCAACTTTGCCTATAATAATAATTTGTTATTAAGAATTTGTCCCACTTCTTCAACAACCCTTGTTTGGTGAAGAAATCTGACCACTTATCTGATAGTGCAGTGAATAACGTTAATGTGAATAATGCTAATGCTTTATTTGATGAATTAATCGATAAGTGTAAGGTAGAAACTAAGCAAATTACTAGCTTACTCGGACTGGATTTATGATTATGTACCCTGAATGTCTAATTGTTTTGATGAGGATCCAATAGATCACACTAGTTTTGTGAAAGAACAAGTAATGTTGTTATGGGATATGAAATATCAGGTGAAATGACAGTGTCGGTTTTAATGAAATAATGTTCGAAATACCCTCCCAGTGTTGAAACTTTTCTTGCCTTGACTGAACGTAAAGCTATGCAACAATCTGGGAAACTGTCGATGGTGGTGCGTAAAGCGTTTGAGAGTCTGAAGGACAAAAAATGATGTCAGATTTGCTTCTAACTTTACAGCTGCTCTCAATTAACTTGGTGGGTAAAATTTACCTACTGATTTTCCAAACCATCTACCAACAAAATCATCATAGGTTTTAAAATAGGAAATAAATAAGCTAGTGGCTTTTGGATTCATTTACCATTGTGCTGTGTGCTACTGATATTGACATAAGTAGTATATGATGTTAGTCGTGAACAGAAGGTCTGGCAGCAAAGAGACAAGAGGATCAAACAGTAAAGAATGGAAACAAAATGCAACTTGTATGAAAATGCAAGAACAATGAATTCTGAGTCATTTTGAGACAATTGGTGGGCATTTTGCAAATTAAGCATTTACTTTATGATTGTTAGATTTTATTAATAAGTCTTGTAATTTTGTGTTGAGTACATTCGATTGTTCTCACTGGTGTTCTTGTTCACTACACCATCTTACATTCCTTAATAGAGGCTAAATTTTAAACAAATCAATAGAAACGTATTACATATTGCTTCTGTAATCACAGAACAACATTTAGAAAACCTCAACCAAAGCTTTTCAAACCGTTTCAATAAGTTGACAAATGATATATGATAACTAATGAATAATGAAACAATGAAACTTTATCAATTATTTAATATGGGAACAGATTCCTGACATTTGAATTACTCTTTTGATCCTTTAAGTATCCTTTACATATTCCAATAAAAATGTTTGCTTTATAATTTGAGTTCTGACAATAGAATTGAAAAGAAGTGATTTTATCCATAAACTGGTAATAAATTTATCAAATATTTCTGTTATAATCCCTTTCTTACAGTTATGACCCAGCTATTCCTATTGCTTAGTATTCTCGGACACCGATTCACTCGACAAGTCCCCAAATCAGAACACGGTTGAACAGGAAAGAGATTATATTCCAAATAACAAGGTTAGATGGAAGTTAGAAGCACAATAGGGAAAACGTTAGTATATTTATATTTTTTACATGAGAAGATTCTAGAGTATTCTCCAAGTATCGACTAGTGCTGATTGGCTAATTCTTATCCAATCAGCGTGCACCAAAGCAATCGTACATTGAGCATGCTTTAATCCAGTCTATGTCACGCTAACAATTTCCGATAAAAGTTTCATACTTCATGAATTGACGACTTTATAGTTTCCTCATTACACCGTAACTGATCATAACAATTGACTTATTTAAGTAGACTTTTACGCATAATGGGCATATTATTTGAATAATAAATCAAATAATCGAATATGTCATATATTCACATTTTGGATTGGATTTTAGTCGTGAATATACGTTTCATACTTGACAAATATTGTTTCATATATCTTAGATCTAAGTAAAATAATCATTTTAAAATTTAACATCCTTTTTCCAACATTCAATCAAAAGACGTTTTTTAAAAATAAATATTTAAAACGGTATACGGAAGACAATAATATTGAAAATTGAACAGAGACTGTTTTTGAAATGTCAGCACATATTCTGAGAGCTGTGCAGAGCTAGTAATTAGCATATTTCTACAAAGCACTCAGAAAGACATAATAATGACTGTACTATTATTAGATAAATAAACGAAATCATGAGTAGTGTAGTGTCGGTTACTATATTAAGCTTATATAACTTATTCTAGCTTCTGGACAGGCCAATTTATCCATTATACATGAGTAATATTCTCACATTGTTAATTATTCATCTATCAGTCTTGACTGTCATTATGTAAGCGTATGTTTGTGTACGTCTTATCTTTTGTATGACTATAAATATTAACTAGTGCTTGGTTAAATGAAGTTGGCTCACATGTTTTCTACACCGCACCTCATTTAGTTTCACTTCGTTGTTTTGATCGTCTGACTGGATCAATAGTTGTACAAAATATGCGTATTCGAAATCTTTTTCTCGTATTTGACTTATATTTTTTATTCTGTTATTCACTAAAACAAATTAGGTTGATAAATATGTACGAGGATAGCCTATATGTATATTATCCAAAACGATCCAACTGGAGTAAGACATCGGGCCACCCAAGTAAAACCACAAATAAATAACATGAAATCAAACTAAATCAACACTTGACACTCCTATTATAATTCTAAGCTGTTATTTGAAAAAAAGTCAATATCAGAGATCAAAAACCAAACACTGAGTCTAAAAATATCCATTACGATAACAAGTCACTGAGTGGTTAAAATTAAAAAAAAGAAACATTTCACTTCGAAATTAACATACCTTGGTCTTTCATCAAAACGTCCATAGTAGTTTCGAAAAGGAAATTCTTGAGATGGATGTTTGTGTGATCTAAAATAATTTGCAATGAAACTTTAGGTAATGACCAATTATTAAATGAATGATTTAACTTTTATGTTGTTCTGTAAGCAGTATCTAAACTCATCATATAATATGGTAATAAAACAAACAGTCACACTATTCCTGATGAACAGTTCGGTTGTATACTTCTGAACTGTCAACGTTATCTAAAAAGTATGTATTTTAACATTTATAGTCCTATTAATTTACTGGTATTTTAGAAGAAATTCAATTTGGTTTTGCTTAGTAAATAATAGTACAATCGTTAGTTTTTGCATTGTTGTACCCATTGTACAGACTATAGCAGCTATCCTACAGCTAATTTCAATTATGGTTAATTTTGGTCAAGCCCTTTTATTAACTTGCTTAACAGGCAATGTTATTTGAACAATAAAATTTCGCATATTTCTTTGTACCGTTATGATCACTAGACCACATGACAGACTCTCGCTAAAATGTCTGAATTATTTTTTCTGGTTAGCGTATTTTTAGCGAGTTAGTTTTCTACCGGATGAAGTCGCCAACCCCATGCCCAACTCTCCTCCTTTGCCCGGGCTCGGGAACGTCAGTAACTCTAGAAGAGCTACAGGCAGAGTTTCGCTAAAATGTTGATTGCTTAAATATCATTCAATGGTTCACATCCTCCTCCCCATGTATGTATGTACTCAAATCTTATTATTAGCTTTTGCTTTAAGTTGTTATGCCCTTATGCGATTTGACTATAAATTTGCCTATGTAATTGCTAGCATATGACTTATTCGCCTGTCCACTTAAAATTCGTTCGATGTGCTTATGGCTTTGTGATCTGCTCTAATAAACTGTAGTTGCAGCATCTCTTTGCCTTCTGATTTTTAACACGTTGAGATTTATATTATAACGGTTATCGAGGTGATCGATTAACGAAGAAAAGCCACTACAATACTCACAAATGTTTCTTTTAATTCTAATTTTCCCATTTCATTATAAAGCATATTTGTTGTTCTCAATAAAGGAATGTCAGTAAAGTTCTAAGTTAAAAAACGTTTCTTAGACTCGGTTATAGTATTAGTCTTATACTGATGGACGTAAACTAATTTAATGAAGTTTGATATTCATTCATATTGTTTTCTCTACAAAGATATGTACATTTGATTTTGAGCACTTAGTCATTGAAATGACATCATTCTGAGAATTGAATGAATGAAACTGAAGTATCGATGTACAGATTACTCTGTTTAGTATTATTTGATACTTCAAACACAGTATGAAATGCCTTTTTTAAAACATAATGCTTAATACATTTTTACTTCTGAATACTAAAATTTATGACACGAATTTCCTAAAACATTTACAAAGTATTTATTTGTTAGGATATGAAAGGGAAACAAATTATTGAGCAATTTCATTATTAATGATTTGCACCACATCATCTGTCCAAATAAAGTTTTGGAATAAATACGCATTACGTTTTTTTGAATGGATCACTGGTAACTACTTAAATAGTAATAAGTAAACGATCAATGCTAATTCATTAACGGATCCGAAATTTAAAAAAATTATTCTAACTAAACCATAATTGAGTCAAAGAACTTTTCTAACTGTTTCCTTTCATAATTCCTCTTGCATTAAGAAATAGTTATTGCAGAATATCAGTATTCGGTGGAAAAGAAAAACTAAAGAAATCTAAAAAAACCAGCATATTTCACTGATCATCTATGAACACATATTGTAATTGTTGGGTTAAATGAAGCATGCACTACTTCTAAACTACTAAATTAGAATCCAAAACATGTTGATTATTTAATAGTGTTTAAATGAACAATATTTGAACTAGGAATACAATTATTCATCTCAATAAAATTAGATATTTTGTATTCACTTATTAATTTTGATAGAAGTATACATTTCATACACATAGTTCCCTTTATCATTTCGAAAAGAGTAAGAACAAAGATTCTAGCAGAATAGCATAAATTCATTTTATTTCGTAGATTCACGTCAGCTGCTTACAAAATGAGAGGGTTTGTTTTGAAGTTATATAGAAGTCATATATATGATATTACTTTACGAATATGTCTTCAATAGAACTTTCAAGCAAACCCTCTCATGTTGTAAGCAGCTGATGAGAACCTACGAAATAAAATGAATTCATGTTATTCTGCTAGAATCTTTGTTGTTGCTTTTTGTCAAAAGTATATATTCCTAACAATTCAAATATTTGTCCGTCAAAATGTTTCAATTAAATACTTCCCTTTCATTATCATTTCTGTCTATAGGCTGTATATCAGAGAAAGTACTTTCTTATGTTTAAATATGTAACCTTTTATATGATACAAAAAGGAAATTGACTTATTAATTCTTTGTTACTCAAAAACAAAAAAAAACATAGTTGCGCTTATTTATAATAATCGTGTTTAATAGTTGCATAGTAAAATATCCCTTTTTTAAAAACAAGAGAAAAAAAAGATTTTTTTTCTAAACAGAATGAAAGAAGCGCTTTGTATTGTGTTATTTTTTTCTTCTTCTCATCTTATTCTTATTTTGAGAAAAGCGGCTTGTCTTGTCAGTATATCAGACTATTTAAGTTAAACAATGAAATAATGAGTTTTTCTATTACATAACTGTATATTTAACCTTGAAATAGTCAGTAGAATGTTAGTATTCTGCAAAATTCTCAATGTTACTTGAAACTGTAATCATTTTGATTATTAAATTATTTAATCAATTTAACATTTATTTAAAATAAGAGAAAAAGTGTGATTACATAACGTTAGTATTTCCGTCATATTTGTGAATATCATAAACCGAGATACAGTATCAAGCGATTATCTCTTTAAGTTTCCAACAATTTTTCTGGGTGGTTTTACTTAATCCCTAATCTAGCTACAAGAAAAACTAATGTCAGCTTTTCCTTCGTACAGAATTTGTCTAAATAAGTTTGAAAAAGCATTATAGTAAATCATCTTTATGTCATTTAGTAAGACATTTTTGCTGAGAATGATCAATTTGATATCCTTTGCTTAAGCTAAACTATTTACACTGTAATAAATTAATCTTAAAACACATAGTAATATATTAGTACCATTATTTTAATACGTTCATATCTTACTTGTTGTCTATAGATAATCTATTATGTAGCAGATATCACGTTTTCATCATAAGGAAACTAAACTAAGTTTCACTTGGTATTGTTTGGCTTGTATCTTCCCATTGAGCTTTAAGACTGCAATTGATCAGTCTGTTTTAGCATATGTGCATACTGTGTGTATGCCTCGATATTGCCTTAATTCACAAGCTTTTTGTAAGCAATGTTTCGTTTTGAAAACATCATAAATATAACAGACAAAACTCTTTTAAATTAAAATTCAAAGATGTTTGCTGTTACACATGAATAAACTTATTTGTGCGAATAAATGTAAAAGGGTATTAGACAAATCCATTCTAAAATTAGCTCTAGTCGTCAATTAGAAATCATGCCAAATTATTCAAATCGGATTTCTTTTTGGCACAATTGTTCTGCTTATAAAACTCTGAAATTCCAACTCTTTGCAATAGTCATTTATCAGTTTTTTAAAAATGGTTTCTCACTAGAACTGCAAGAAATACCTCTTGGAGACCGTCACTAGTTAGTTTATGATGATTATAATAAGAAAAAAGTTAATGTGATCATTAATAAATATGAATCTATCTATTCTTCATTGTATGAATAAACCATCAACTAATAAATGCGCATCAGCTGACATTCGGATTTTGTGTTTTTTCCAACTATATGTATTCTTCTTTTCTATTTCAAAAATAAATTTCAATTTCGTTGATTGCTATGGAACTTCACTTTTAATCATCTTATTATTCCTAATTGTTTAGAAGTTTACAAATAGAATGAATTCAATTTATTCATCAGATTATATTTCACTCAAATGTATTAATTTTTATTAAATTAAATTATATTTACCTTCATATTTATGACTAATAAAGTTTTTACTGCAAATTGATTGACAAATCAGATGGGTTTTGTGGATATTATAGTAATTTCAATGGTTAAGATCATGAGTCAGTTGAAGATAAACCACCATGGAAAACCTGGAAGCACTGGAAGGCCGTTTCGTCCCATTGTGGGACTCCTCGGCAGTGCGCACCCACGCCCTCGCCCCCTGCGAGATTCGAACCCAGGACCTACTGGTTTCGCGCGTGAGTACTTGACCCCTAGACCACTGAGTCGGCCGTCATCCAACAGTGTTAATGTCTAACTTCAACTAATCCACGAAATTGAGCGACACATTCACCATTGTCTTCAGTGAGTTGGTATCTCACAACAGACCTGGTTGAACTTCACTGGTCACAACGTCTCACTTGAACTCCAGGATATACCTCGTGAAATTGAAATAAATCCATAGTAATTCAACTAAAAACAACGTTTCGTTAAAACAACAATTTAGATTATTGTATAAATTACTTTCTATGTGATATCTAAAACAATCTTTGGAAATGATGTAAATCTATGGTTTTTTATTAGAATCCACCTCAACTGTCATATATATATTAGGAAGTAAAACCCTATCATTTAACGTATCTGAATCTTCTATTAATTGGTTAGAATTTATCATTTCAAAAGGTGGTGGTATATAATCAAGATGATAACAACAGTTTCTTGTGTATTCAATTGAAAATTAAAAAGAAACACCTAATGACAGTACTTATATAATGACGAAAGTTTAATAATGGAATCAACTTACTTTGGGATCATATTACTTTGGGTATAGTAAATGGAGAAAATGATTGCCAAAACTGTTAGTAATATATGGAATCGCATTTTTTTTAAATAACTTTTTAACACCTTAAAAACAAAACAAATAATGATAATACAAATTAGCCAATGGTTACATTGATAACTTTAAATTTATTGATATAAAATGCAAGGAAATATTTATTATTCATGAACATGTAAAATACAGTAAGTACTTTGAAATGTTTAGATGATGATTAAGCGTTTTAGTTTTCATTTTCAATATAGATCTATAAACATTTACTTCTGCAAATGCTATGGTGTGAGCTACTTATATCCACATAAGTAGTATATAACGATAGTCAGAATAGAATGTATTTTAGTAGAAGATCGAGAAGGAAACAACGGGAACGAAAGTTATTGCTATGAAATATACGAACAGTGAAATCTGAGACGATGGACTGAAATTTGCAAAAGGAACAATCAAGTTTGAGACAATTGATTAATATTTTGCAAATTAACTATTTACTGTATGGTTCTCACATTTTAGTGAGATATTCTGTAATTTTGTGCTTAAATGCATTCGTTTGTCACCGCTCATGTTCTTGCTCACTACAATGCGATTACTATTTTCAAGTAAATAAAGTTTATTTTTAGAACATTTGTCTCTCTTTAACAAGAGAATTATAAAGCATATTCCTTAAATGATTTTTAGGAATTTTAGTTAATTGTATTATTTAAAATGACTTACCTTGCGAATTACGTAAATTATACGAAATGTACCAATCATACTGTCAAGATATAAACCTATCTACCAAGTACATGTGATTGTGCGTAGCTTTGAGCTACATTTCTTTAGTGAGAAATAGCTCTATTGAATCCTAACGAATTTTTTAACCAGAATTCGTACTTTATACTTGATTATATCAATCGTAATGCGTTCATTATTAAACTATCATTCAAAATAAAGTTTATTATGCACCATAGTTAGTTTCAGGTCGTACGATTAGTGTGTGTAAAATATTTTGCGTGAATCTCATAATTATTCCATCCAGTTATTACAATCCAATACCACTAAGATTAATCTATCTGTATTGTCTTTCTCACCACTCAGCTTCTATCAGCATTCAATATACAACTATCTATTGCTGAATGAGAAGACGAAGTTTATCAGACTTATGCGATATATTCGCGCAATACATTCCGAACATTCTGATCACACATATACTTGTTAGACATTTTTATATGAAAAGTAAAAGGTCAACTAAACAGGTTAAAGGTAAGCCGTACCAAAAGAAAAAATGAAGTACACAAAAATAATGTGATTACCACTCTGGATAACAAATCAGTAATACCAGGGTAAATTAAGGGTAAGGAAAAATTGTTTTTGAACGCAAAAAGGGGGTTTCAGTTTCTGCATGGTCATAGCTTCTGTAAACCTTAGTATACTTCCTTGAAGGCTTTTGTACAACACTACAAGTGCTGACTTGATGTCAACCTTGTGACCAGTCATAATCAAATGTTTCTCAATGGAGAAAGATGTTTTTCTATCCTATGATCATTTGACCATTGGAAATCACTTGTTGCATTGGGTTCATTGGCTTGCAATACGATTAGACCTATGACGCTTCTGGCACCCAACAAACGATTTTACATTATGTTACCATTTAGATGCAACTAAAACAAAGACTTAAAGTAGCCATCAACCGAACATTTTATGTAGCTCAACTTGTCATTGTTGAAAAGATAAGGTATGTAATCAAATTTGCAAACATGATAATTTTTCGTTTCAAAGTTTCTAAAACTATGGAATATTTTATTTTATAAAATTTTAATCATTTATCATTTTCCGAAGAGGTTTTGTGGAGATTTCAGTAATTTCAGTAGTTGAAATCATGAGTCAATTGAGGCTAGATCACCATGGAAAACCTAGAAGTACTGGACGGCCGTTTCGTCCTAGTATAGGACTCCTCAGCTGCGCGAATCCACGATCCCGCTCACCGTGAGATTCGAAACCAGGACCCATTGGTCTCGCGCACAAGCGCTTAACCATCAAACCACTGAGCCGGCCGGCATCCAACGGTTTTGATGCCTAACTACAACCAATCCACGAAGTTGCGCCACCGTACACCATTGTCTTCAGTGAGCTGATATCTCACAGCAGACCTGGTTGAACTCCACTGGTAACGGCATCTCACTAGAACTGCAGGAACTGCCTCTTGGAGACCTTCACTAGTGAGCAGATGATAGGTCTTGGGTTCGAATCTCGCGACGAAATGCGGGATCCTGGATGTGCACTGTTGATGAGTCCCACAACAGGACGAAATGGCCGTCCAGTGCTTCCAGGTTTTCCATAGTGACTTATCTTCAATTGACTCATGATTTCAACTAGTTCATTTATCATTTACTCAATTTTTTTTTCCTATTCGAAATAAATCCTTGTCAATAAAAGAGAAACATCTTCCGTTGACATTTAATCAACTGAAACTTTCAAATTAACTCCATTAAATAACTAATCATTTTTATGTTTATCCAAATGTATTAACTATTCTTTTCATTATTTCGAAAACCTAATAGATTTATAAAAAGAGAAAATCAGATCTGAGAATAAATGATGAAAACTTCAATCAATCAATCAACCAATCAATCGATCAGACAGTTCGAAATAAAAATTTTTTAATTCTTCATTTATTCATTCATTCATTCATTTTAAAACAACACATTACGCTTTTATGTTATAATAAAACAAAAACAAACAACCAATATCTAACCCATTTATTATTTTTTTATAATTAAAATCTATCTTATCAATTTCGAATTCATTAATGTAGATTGAAAAATGTTGAATAAATGAAAATACACTATTTTTTTTTAATGAGTTTTGTTTGTTTGTTTTGTATTCTTTGATGTTTATTTGTAAAAGACAATTTTATTTTGTAACTCCTATTAGTTGTCTCAGTTTTACTTAAGTCAATTCATCCTCTTCAATTTTCATTTATATATTAATTGTTTGTTAGAACTATGAAGAGTTACAATAAAAGAGTAAAATTAAATGTAAAGAACAATGTAATATTGAAAGAAATTAGTGATTAATGAAGATTTAATTGTATAACTAGACAAATCAAGGATAAGAAGAAAAACTTACGCATAAAGAAAAATGACATAAAACCAATTTAATAAGTCTATGAAAACTAAACTTTATTAATATGATGAGATGAAATGTCAAAATTAGATTGATTTACTTATTATGATTTTTATTTAATATTACTTCCCTTTTATTTCATTTGTGATGGTTGCTAAGTAAAGTATTTGTTTTGTTTCCCAGTGTGATATTTAATTCGGTATAACATTAATTTATTCGAGTGTGATATTTTTTTAAAGATACAATATTCTTCACTTGGTATTGTTTGGTTTGTATCTTCTCATTGAAGATTAAGACTGCAATCGATCAGTCCTGGATTCCACTGCTAGCCATTATCCATCATTGCTTACAAAAAGCTTGTGAATTAAGGCAATATCGAGGCATACGCACAGTATGCACATATACCAATAACAGACTAATCAATTGCAGTCTTAAACTTTAATAAAAATATACAAGCCAAACAACACAAAGTGAATTTAAATTTACTCCATTGCACAAGCAACTGGCTATCAGGACTCAGTAGCTGAGTGGATAACGCGTGGGCGTTTGAAGCGAATGATACTGGGTTCGAGTCCCTGAGTGAACATCAACTCTTAGATGCTGGTACATCCATCTGACGAGTCCCAAATAGGACGAAACGCGCGTTATGGATTCCACTACTAGCCACTATCCATCATTGCATACAATATTCTTGTATTAAATTAACATGAACTAGGCTTGGTATAACATGCAGTATGTGATTTGTTATAACTTTAGGTATTTTTCATCTATGTGATTTCATCCTGATTATTAATCAAAATGGGTGTATATAAATGAGTGTATTTTCGACTAGGTTCGTCATCGCCGTGTTTTGAAATTAATAAATCTTCGATAATGATATTAGAAGACGAAGATTATCAGAACTATGTGATATATTAGCGCAATACATTTCGAACAATCTGGTCACACATATACTTGTTAAGAGCATTTATATATAAAAATAAAAGGTCAACTAGACAGGAAACGGGGTAAGAGGAGATAAGGATAATGATAAGAGTAATAATAATAATAATAATGTGAACACAAAGCGAAACCTAATCACTCTGGATAATAAGTCAATATTACCAGGGTAGGTTTAAGGTAAGAACAAACTGTTTTTGAACACATAAAGGGGGTTTGAATTTTCGTATGGCTAAGGCTTCAATGAACCTTAGTATACGCCCTTTTACACTTTTATACAGCACTACAAAAGCTGAATTTAGATCAATCTTGTGACCTGTTTCAATTATATGTTTAGCAATAGAGGATGATGGATGTTTATCCTCTGCTCTTATTGGGTCACTTGATTGTATTTGATTCTGAAGCCATTTGGGTACATGTTCACTCACCCTAATGTTGAGATCACGATTACTCCTCCCTATGTATGTGTGACCACACACACATTTAAATTGGTAAACACAGTGGGATGTGACGCAATCGTTTCCATGTACTTTAGGTTTTGAATGAAGCATGCACCTTGTTCTTTCTTTGATGATGACCTTTGCTGCGCAATAGGTTTTATTGATGACTGATTTAAGTCGTTGTTTGAGTAAAAGGCTATTTGAATCACCTCTGAATGGTAAGGTGATGTAGACAGGCTTTTTCTCTACCGAGGCTACAGTAGGTCTCGCTGAACCATGGACTTTCCATCTATTTATGAATTTCAGAGGATAGCCATTTTCTATTAACGTTTTATTTAACAACTTAACATCATCATCAATGGCGTTTACCAATTTAAATGTGTGTGTGGTCACACATACATAGGGAGGAGTAATCGTGATCTCAACATTAGGGTGAGTGAACATGTACCCAAATGGCTTCAGAATCAAATACAATCAAGTGACCCAATAAGAGCAGAGGATAAACATCCATCATCCTCTATTGCTAAACATATAATTGAAACAGGTCACAAGATTGATCTAAATTCAGCTTTTGTAGTGCTGTATAAAAG